AAAAATGATTATGAAAATGCTAACACACTTGCACATGATGGTAAAACACTTGTGGTGTTGGCACATTTGCAAAGGAATCAAAGGAGGCAAAAAAAGGGATGAGGTGCTGCCTCTGGGGCACCGCCACCACCTGTCCGGTGCACCGCCACCCCTGTGGTAGTGATCGTTTGGCCATGGCCGAGAGGGAGAAGTTGGCGCTGGCACCGCCAGTGGCGGTGTACACCGCCCTAGGCACGATGGTGCACCGCCCCTTTTCAACAGAGAGCAGGGGTAGCCAGGTTGGGCATCACCACCCCTGTGACGGTGCATCGCCCTAATTATCTAGAGAGGGGTGTTTTCGAGGAGTTGGCGGGGGTGGCACCGCCGCACCCTATCCAGTGCCACCGCTGCCTGTTTGGTGCCCCAACAGCCGTTGGAGGGGCACCGCCACCCCATGTCCGATGCCATCGTAGAAAGTAGCTCAAAGGGGTAACGACTCTATTTGCTTGTGGTCTTATAAATAGAGGTGGTGGCTGGCCTTGGACACTCTTGGCACTTCCCACACCTGAGTATATTCTTTGGGAGCTGAACAAATACAATCCACTTACTTGCACACTTGATTTCATCATTTGAGTGAGATTGGAGAGCCTCTAGTGTATTACTTAGTGATCTAGCATCTTGTGGCACTAGATGGGCTATTTGGGCTGGTGGAGTTCTTGTTACTCTTGGTGTTTGCCGACACCGAGACGGCCCGATGATTGGTGGATCGTTGAGTAATTTGTTGGTGATTGTTGTCGGCTTCGATCATTGAGCTTATGAGGGGTTCTTGTGCCTTCTCCGGTGGAGCATTAAAGGCAACTCTAGTGGATTGCGCGTAGCTTGGTTGTGCGGCACCCGGTTGCGGATTAGGCGTGTGATGCCTATTAGCGCGTGAACCTTCAAGTAAGTGAATCGCCACAACGGGGACTAGCTTGACGGCAAGCAAGTGAACCTCGGAGGAAAAATAATTGTGTCATCATTGTCTCCTTGGTTTTCTTGGTATTCATTGTGATTGTTCACTTGCCGGGATTGGTATCTCCTCTCTATCTCTCTTGCATTTACATTCCTAGTGATATATTGTGTAGTGGTAGTTAGTGTAGCTAGTGTAGCTCTTTTAGTTGTAACTATCTTGCTAGCTTGATCAGCTAGGTGTAAATTAGTGACATAGCCTTTGTGTGATATACTAGAGATCATAGAAATTAGAATTGGTTAGGTGGCTTGCAACACAAGTGTAGTGCTAGTGCAAAATTCACTTCGTCATTTTATTTACTAATCATTTGTCTTAGTGTTGTTGTAGAATTTTTTAAATAAGCTATTCACCCCCTCTAGCCATTAGGACCTTTCACGTGGGCACCTCGGAGCAGGCCGATAGCCCCTCCCAGACACAGGCCGCCAGCAGCACCTCCCAGTAGGCCAGCCATGGCTACTGAGAAATCACTATTGCAAAGAGAATTGGAAGATTCATCATCAGATGACGATGGCTATGTCATCTTGTCAGCAGCTGCAATTGTTGAAACTTATTTGAAAGAAAAAGGAAGACATGGTGGTTCTGTCCCATGCCATAATGTTATTTATTGAGATAGAGAAGGCGGGCACCAAAGGATGTTTCAAGATTACTTGGTTGATGATCCGATATACAGCCTAAATTTATTTTGTCTAAGGTTCATGTGCATTCACTTGTTATATGTACCTAGAACGCTAGGTAATTGTTCCGCGGTGGCATCGATCGAGGAGCTAGACGACAAGCGATGGAGGAGCGATCTCTCTTGTATGCATCGGCGATGAAGGAGATGGCGATGGAGGAGCGCGCGAAGGAGACAGTCGCGGTAAAAGAAGGCACGCGAAGATTGACACCGCGCGGGAAACTCGTATTCGCGCGATGGAGGAGTAGCGCAAAGTTACGCGCAACGGGGGTGGATTTTCGAAGTGGAGGATTAGGAGTTGTTAGAGAGGGATTTTTTCTCATCTTTCTAAAAACCAAGGATTAGGAAATAATTTAGAATACTCTTGGAGATGCTCTAACACATGATCATGTTGCTAATAATTAATAAGTAATACTCAATACATTTCAAATTATAAGACTTTTTAACTTTTCTAGACATATTGATTTTACTATGTATCAAGATGGGATATATATCTAAATACATAATAAAAATTATATATTAAAAAAGGCAAAACGCCTTATAGTTTAGAATAAAGAGAGTAATAAACAATATTATAAGGAGGGACTGATAGGGATAGAGATCATTTAATAAGAATACAGGGGACATTCGGAAGAAAAAAAAGATAAGCCGGCTCCGTTCCAAAAGAAATGTAAATCTCGCTCCACAAGAAGTGAAAAGTCTTATGTTAGATTAGGTTTATAGAAGATATTATTTACATTTAGATCTTTAAATAGGTATATTATAAAAATATATTTTATAATTAATATAATTACTTATTTTATCATCAAAGAGCGAGTTTTTTTAGAGCTCTCTTTCTATAATAACCGTTCGATCTAGATGTCGTGTTATATGAGTCATCCGTCATCTGTGATCGCATGTAAGATGTAAGACTCTTCCTAGACCAAGATTCCTCCTGGACCCCAAAAAAAATCTGAACATATGTGATTTTGTTTGTTACGATAAAAAGATTTCCTTTAATAGAAAAAAGGAAAATAGAAAACTAACATGCGAGGATGATGCCTACCTCTTCCAACGGTGCTTAAGATCTAGGAACAACGGACGGACTTTCCCTGGATTTTGTTTTTCACCGTGTTTCCGTCGTCGCCGAGGACAGGGAGATAACGTTTGGGATAGCTTTTTTTTTTTAAAAAAGGTTTGGGATAGCTGCGATGGATGGCCAATGGGAATGACTGTTGTGGTGCGGTTACAAGAGTTAGGACATGTGCTGCATTTTTTTAATAAAATTTTATAAAAATTCAATCCATTTTGGTTTATTTTATAGAGTTCAGTCCATTTGCGTTCAGCCCTGGTTTAACGTGACTACACTTTGAGACAGAAAAACAAAATAATAATAAAGAAGTAAATGTCAGAAAAAACAAAAATAGGTCAAAATATTCTAATATTAAAAGGAGAAATTTTCTTCCTTCAAAATTTTATCCGTCACTCCAGATTCATGTGTCGCTTCACTCCCTCGAGCATAAAAGTTCTAGCCAGTACATGATAAATTAGAGACAAGAGTCTTGATTTGGTTAAAATTTGCATGGGTGTTGTTTGGAAATAACTATGTAATATAGTTCGATTCCAAGACGTATTGTAATATGTGACACAATTGTTAAATAGATTTTTGAACCCTATGTCATTTAGATGATCGCGTAAGAAGTCCCGTTGTTAATCTAATTACTTAGAGCATCTCCAAGAGTTCTCTAAATATTACTTCTAAAAAATCTATGTTTGTCAACTTCTAAAAATATTTTAGGAGAAAAAAAAATCCATCTCCTATAGTTCATAATATTTGACTTCTAAAAAAAATCAAATGATGGTCTCATTTGATTTTTTTTCTATAGTATTCATTTTTCCCCACTCACCGTACAAAACCAACCATCATGTACAGCAACAGCTAGCCATGTCTTCTGGAGATCACACACCGACGACACTGCTGCTGGTACGGTAGAATACGGTGAACTTGCTAGTAGCTTTTGCTTGCCGGCCCGAGCACTTCATTGGCTACCTAGCATAGCAAGCATATATAGCTAGCGAGCTGCTACACATTGTTCACGAGGCCGACGGTGGCGGCGGCGTCGTGTCGTCGTTCGTCGGCACGCTCCGTCCCGGCACGCCGGGCCCCGCGTGGGCCGGAGCCGGAGGACACGGCCTGCCGTACAGCGGCTCCGTGCGGGGCGGCGGCCGCGCGTCCTGCGACGAAACCGGCGCCAAGCACGGCGCCGGCAAGGGCTCCTCCGGTGGGCTCAGCTGCCACAGGTGCGGCGAGCAGTTCAGCAAGTGGGAGGCGCCGGAGGAGCACCACCTCTCCAAGCATGCAGGTGAGGAGGCTCCTGCTGCTCACATCTCTGTTGCATCCGCCGCGTTGCTTGCATCTCCCACCGTACAGATCACGAGGCCTCTTCTTCACGAGGCTGCTGCTGCTCACATCTCTGTTGCATCCGCCGCGTTGTTCACGAGGCCTCTTCTTCACGGCGCTGCGGCGGCGGGCGCGGCCCCGGAGGCGGAGGCGGACGGCGTGGCGAGGAGGAGCTTCTTGAGGAGGCCGGCCACGGCCAGCGGGGCCCTCTTGGAGGCGACGGCGAAAGCCATGGGAAGATGTCTCTCCCTCACCGAGGTGGTGACGCCCAGATGCCTCGACAGCGACGGGAGTGGGGTTGGGTACCGGGGTGGGGGCACGCGCGGGAGGTGCACGGCGTCTCCGCGCATGGCTTCATACGTGTAAAGTTAGGAAAGAAATTTCTTAAGTTCTAAAAGTTTAGATTAAATATTAGAAGCTGTTAGAGTGAGTTTTTTCATATCTTTAAAAATAATAAGAATTAGGAAAATGCTTAGAGAACTCTCTCTTATTTATTTATGTATATCACAATATAAGCATCAATATTTTTCAGAAAGCGAGACTTATATGCGAGGAAGGAGAGCGTACGTCTCGGCGTGCCCGCCACACCGCAGTTGCAGACCCACCGGGGCAGGTCACCACGAAGCGAACGCGTAGACGGCGCACCACGTTGGCACCTCGCCACACGTCGATAGAAAACGGGGAAAAAGTACTGTTCGTCTGTGGTAAACCATCGTAAATTTTCAGAGTCAGTATCGTTTCAGCCCAGCCGAACGTGCCAAGACGTTCACTGACCGAAAAAACGAAACAACTCAGGCGACGAGACGCGAGAGTTTATCTAGCTATCCCGTCCGCTTCGCCCACCTCCTCTCTCCTCTCTCCTCCGTCCCTCCGCCCCCTTCGCCCTTCCCGACGCGCCGCCCGAAACCCTAGCTCCACCGATCTATCTCTCTCCATTCCAGCCCAGCCAGGGGGAGGGGATGGCGGCGGCGCCAGCGGCGGGAGGGCAGGGCGGCGGGGGCATGGACGCCGCGCTCGTCGACGACATCATCCGCCGCCTGCTCGAGGTGCGGACCGCGCGCCCCGGGAAGCAGGTGCAGCTCTCCGAGTCGGAGATCCGCCAGCTCTGCACCGTCTCCCGCGAAATCTTCCTCAGCCAGCCCAACCTCCTCGAGCTCGAGGCGCCCATCAAGATCTGCGGTGCGTACCTTACCTCCCTCTTTCTCGTTTCGGGGCGGCCGTGGCAGTAGATCTGGTCTGGTGGCGCCGCCAGCTTACGTCTCGTGGGATTCTGGCGATCGCTTCTCTATGAAGCAGTGGGGTAATCGTGGGCGTGTACCATTAGTTTGGGCTCTTCTTTATTTAGTGATTCTGTTTATTTAGTGATTCTGTTTTTGTTGGTATATGGACGTGACTTATTAGAGCGTTTAGTATTGATTTATTCTCCTGGGTTTTAATTTGAATATGGATTGATGCCATGCTGGTGAGATATTTTCAACGAGGAAATTGGGCAGTAATATATGTGCTTGCATGGAAGCAAAAAAAACAGCTGCAGGCATGGGGGGCATGGCGACAAAGAGTGGTTTTCCCTCTATTTAGTTCATTCTGTTTGCTGATTAACTTGCACTGGTATGCTTGTGCCTCTTTCCTTATGTTCTTTCTGCAAGTTCCTTAGGATGGCTGGGGTGGCTCACCAGTCTTATTATTACACTAATGTTCTGTTTCTATGGTAAGGGTAAGGCTGCGTAGAAATTCTCTTCCCCAGGCACAAGAGTTTATGCAAGCTTTCTGTGCTGGCTATGCCCTTTTTAATGGCCACATACAGAGCTATACTTATCTGTTTACGTATACTTCGCATACTGAGACTGTCTCCAACAGAGCATGCAAACCGTGACCCAAACGTAAAATAGGTCATTCACAGTGTTTTGCCTACCAAAAACAACACTCCAACAGAAGACCCAAACACCTTACCCATTTTGCATACGAGGCTTGCCGAAACGCAAATCTGCGTCGTCGAGAGAGACCGATGCAAATCTCTGGCGTCGTAGTGGTGGGCCCGTAAGAGCGGGGCGCGGCGAGGCACGGCCAGGCGGACCGCTGCGGCGAGGAGCCGGCGCGGCGAGGTCCGCCTTGAGGCGCGGCCGGCGGGTACCGCGTCGAGGCGGGGAGCGGGGATCCGGGGTCCTCCTCGCCCACGACCGCCGGATCCGGGAGGGAGGGGCGCCGTGCTCAACGAGGGAGGGGATAGAGGGACGGGCGGCGCCGGGGTAGAGAGGGAGAGAGGGACAGGAACGGGCGGCGAGGTCCGCCTCGAGGCGCGGCCGGCGGGTACCGCGGCGAGGCGGGGAGCGGGGATCCGGGGTCCTCGCCCGCGACCGCCGGATCCGGGAGGGAGGGGAGGGAGGGGTGCCGCCGTCGGCCGGATCCGGGAGGGAGGGGCGCCGTGCTCAACGAGGGAGGGGAGAGAGGGACGGGCGGCGCCGGGGTAGAGAGGGAGAGAGGGACGGGAATGGGCGGCGCGGGGGAGAGAGGGACGGGCTTTTGGGTAGGCTGTTGGAGAATGCGAGTTTTGGGTGCGTCACCCTTTTGCTGTGCGTGACCCAAACTATGGAATGGGTCTCCGATTTGGGTCTGTGCTGTTGGAGATAGCCTGAGGATGATCCACATGTAATTAGCTTTTATTATCAAGTATCTACACTAGGGTGACGTTGAACATTTGAGTAGCAAGGAACTGTTTTGTGTCTCCTGTTTGCGTGGTTGTAGGCACATAATCTGTGTGGGTGTTTGAAGCAGCAATGTAGCTCCTGCCCCCTTGTTCCATTTGCCATTCAAACTGCTGAACTACCACTTTTTTTCCTGATCTACTGAATTGTTTTTCCTCTATTATTCTCATGTTGTTGTTCCTTGCCTCATAAAATCTGTTGTATGCTTCTATTTTTACTGACGCAAGCTTTCGACTGTGATTGTGTCCTTTGTCTTCACTGATATTCTCATATTGTTGTTCTTTGCCTCATAAAATCTGTTATATGTTCTACTTTTACCGATGCAAGCTTTGGACTATGATTGTGTGTACTTTGTCTTCACTGAATAGCTGAATATTAGTATCTAAATATAATCTCCCCTGTCATTTGGTATTCAGGTGACATCCATGGTCAATACAGTGATCTTCTAAGGCTTTTTGAATATGGAGGCTTTCCACCTGAAGCCAATTATCTATTCTTAGGTGATTATGTTGATCGAGGCAAACAAAGTTTGGAGACTATATGCCTTCTTCTTGCTTACAAAATCAAGTACCCTGAGAACTTTTTTCTTCTGAGGGGCAATCATGAATGTGCCTCAATAAACAGAATATATGGATTTTATGATGAATGCAAGCGTCGATTTAATGTGCGGCTATGGAAGGTCTTCACAGAATGTTTTAACACTCTACCCGTGGCTGCTCTTATTGATGATAAAATATTATGTATGCACGGCGGACTCTCTCCTGATCTAGCACACTTGGATGAGATAAAGAACTTGCAACGTCCAACCGATGTACCAGATCAAGGTCTACTGTGTGACTTGCTTTGGTCAGATCCAGGAAAAGATGTTCAAGGGTGGGGCATGAATGATAGAGGGGTCTCATATACCTTTGGTGCCGACAAGGTTTCAGAATTCTTGCAAAAGCATGATCTTGATCTTATTTGTCGTGCTCACCAGGTACCGCCTTATTATTTAGTGCAGCTTCTGTTCTGATCTTTTTATTTCTCAGTTAACTCGAAATTGAAGGTGTTTATATTGCATGTGATGTGATGTCAGGTTGTCGAGGATGGGTATGAATTCTTTGCTGACAGACAACTTGTCACCATATTCTCGGCCCCCAATTATTGTGGTGAATTTGATAATGCTGGTGCGATGATGAGTGTCGATGAAACTTTGATGTGTTCGTTCCAAATTCTGAAACCTGCTGAGAGAAAAAACAAATTTATGGGGCCAAACAAAATGTGATAGTGAAAGCCATTTTGCTTCCAGCAGCTCTGAGGTCAGTTAATCTTGTTTCAGTTTTTTTCCTGCTGATTTACTTGCTCCACACAATTGTTGAATCACATTGCTTATGCATTTGTGGATTGGGCTACATATATTTATGAGAGAATTCCCTGTGTGCCATAAAAAAAATTGCTCTCCCATCTCTACCACAGAAAGTGTGTTACCCTTCTGCTACCACAATTCAAGTTTTTTTACATCTACTACCACTGCTGTCTGTTTTTGCTAACTTGGGCGTTAACTGTGACAGGAAAAGACCAATTTGCCCCTGTGTGCTGTAGCTTCCTGCTAGATTTCGTTTCCCTTCGATGCCACTCATCGTTAAAGCACTGATGCTGCTTTTCTCTGTAGTACAGACCAACATGATTGAAAGCAACTACTACAAATCAAGACTACTAGAAATTAGCACTCCTACATTACCAGAAGCTCACAATTCCGCAAAAGCTTCTTGTTGGAACAACATTAGCAGGACAAGCTTATACCTTTCATCTTTCACCCCAACTCCCAAAGACCACCATAATTTATTGATTACAACTCCTTTGTACCAAAACAACAAACAAGATCTTATGAGAAACCCCGCAGTCTGCAGCTAATCTAACAACATCCAAACCAACCTAACAATAGAGGCAGGAGTGCTTGTTGTAGCACTGATGATCAGAAATCAAGCAGATGCCAGTGCCACCTCGCCGCTGTCGTGCCTGTAGACCACAGGTGAACAGAGAGACCTTGTGGCCCTGTGGGTGCGCCATCGTTGGGCGGAGGCAGTCATCTGTAGGGACGGGAGCGTGAGCAGCTCACCCCCCCCGTGTCCTCCTCTTTATCGCGACCTCCCCTTTGCCAGCCCGTGAAAGCTTCCTCCTGGCTGTGGCTGGCAGAACGAGCAGCAGGGGCAAGGAGGCGCTGACCAGGATGGGGGATTCATGCGCGGCAGCAGCGGGTGACCACATCCTGGCATGGACGGAGAAGAGGTAGCCGACGGGCACTCGCGCTAGCTGGGGCTGCTGCGGTTGGGGGAAACTAAATCTAATAGCAACCTACAGCACATAGGCAAATTGGTCTTTGAATTACATAGGCAAATTGGTCTTTGAATTATGGTACCAGAGGAAAACACACTTGTTTTGTCGTAGAGATGGGAGAGCAACTTTTTTTGATGCCACATGGAATTCTCTCTACATTGTATTGTTTGTCAAATTTGCAGTTTGTAATATCATAGATGTCTGATTTACTTGCTCTAGCGCAATGTTGTAGCTACAAGTGGATTTAATCAGCAAGGAGTGACAAGTACATATGCACAATTAGCTTTGCTATTTACATGAAAAGTTGGGTCCGCTGAGGCACAAAGAACTAGTTCTACACAACAGTTCTCATAATTTTACTGAAAGTGCCACATGAAGAAGTCTAGCAGTATGCCATCTGGAACTGGGAAATTTGTTAATTTCTCCATCAAAGATGTTAATCATCTGGAAAAATAAAGACCTATTTTTGCATTGCCTAGTCACTCTGTTAATGATCATTAGTCTTGTTAGGCTGAGGTTCCCAGTCATGAATGTTCTGTTTCTGGATTACAGTTGATTCTATCCAGGGGCAGAGCTTTCTTAGGACTAAAAGGGGCATGGTCACCCTTGATTTGTGTACTTTTTGTATAAACAATATATTAGAAGTCAATTAGTTGATTAGCAACTTGGTTATTGCATTGCTGTGTCCCTTGTAATCTGAGCAAGCTCCACCACTGATACTATCAATTGTGTATCCTACCTATGAAATGATTTGTGACTTCATTTTAGCTAACGGCACTAATGTTGTGTAGGCTCTCCTGTGGATGCATAGTGACAACAGCATGCTGGCGCCAAGCTTGAGGGCAGCATTGGGCTACTACCAGAGACCAAATAATATCATACCTAACTGTTCGTCTGGAAGTTACTCTTCATGGCAAGTGCCTGAATTTTTTCCTCTTTCCTGTTACCGCGTGTCAGAACAATTATGTAGCTGTAGATATATTGATTATGGAAGGATGAAGTTGCCAAATTGACCTGAGGCGATTTCCTTCTCCAGCCAGGAAAAATTCTGAACATCAAGGAGTTTCTGTTTGCAAGTTTCACTATTTAAAAGCAGTCGTGTCCCTTGTGCGGAGGTAAGGACTGGGCCGAGGCATCAGTTTCTTGGATATGGACTGTTGTGCTAGTTTCGATAGAGGTGTCAAACATCAATTAGGATGAAGAGGTGAGCAACATTCAAGGAGGTGCTGAGGCTTGCCGACAAACCTATGAAAAGGCGTTTCTGTAGCTGACTACTTGGTTTGTCGGTCAGACAATTCTAGACGTGAATTTTGATCTGTTGGCTAGATTAGCTGCCAAATAGTATTTCATATCTCTTGATTTATGGGATTCACATTTACTATTCTTATTGCGATTCACTTGCCGTTGTTATGGTGCTACATTGGTGCCAAACTCGCTCTGCAAGGCAATCGTTTGACTCCGCAAGCCAAATGGTTCTGCTTCGTTCTGCAAGGCAAACTTGTTATGGTGCTACATGCATTTTGCGCACAACCTTCCTGTGCATGGTTTTGCCTGTTGGCTCCTAATCAAGGCTTCCTCGCACCGTTTAGAGGTAACGTTGTGCTGCATCAGGCTCCGGGCTAGACTGCAAATAGCCTCCTGAGTTCGCGTAACAACCAATTCGCACCTCGAACGGCCCATGCGCATCAAGGACTGGTTTTCCCTTGCGCCTAGCCTTGAGCCTGGGCTGTACTGCCTGTACATGCACACGTCGTCCGGACAGCGCGGACGTGCATTAGCACTCGAACTCGCAGACTCGCCTAACGATGTACATGCACACGTCCGGACAGCGTGGGCGTGCATGAGCACTCTTCTTAACATACATAGGGGCTGTTTGGATGATGAGCGTGCGGCCTGGGGCCAGGATGCATCTACACAAACCTGTGTTGTCATGCCTCCCTTCAAGCAAACAGCCCATATATGCGGATTCGTCTAGTCTAACGCTCAAACTCCAACAGGCGGACTCGTCTAACGCTCAAACTCGAACATGCGGACTCGTCGAACGCTCAAACTTGAACATGCGGACCCGGATTCGTCTAACGCTCAAACTCGAACTTGCGGACTCGTCCAACGCGCAAACTTAGATTAAACAAGACCGAAAAGTTGTTGAGCCCAATTTGTGGATTGAGAGCAGGGAATAATAATTTGTCGAACCGACCTTTTTTTTTTCTATTTAATTGCTCCCAGTTTACAAGATGAACCAGTGTGGGAATCGGGTATACAAGAGTATGATACAGTCACAACGATCTCGACTGAACTCTACTTATGAATGGTAGCCACCAAAAGAACTGCTTTGCACCAGCATCTTGAAAATGGCATGAGATCAATACATTCACAACGCAAATCAGTAAGGTGGAGCTTGTGCCCATGCCACAGTATAGAGGATTGAGCTTCACATGTATCACTGGATCGTCGCATAAGTTTCTTGTTTCATTTTCATCAGATTGCTCTCAATGTCTCTTAATACAGGTCTGTATCTGCACGAGATGGCAATGGTTTAATTTCACCTAGACGAAACAAAGTGGGCTTAGGGGCAGATAAGCATAGCAGTATATATACTTACAAGCGCGCAAGGTTATTCTGTGCTTGGACTGCTTTCCTAAGCTCAGCTGAAAGTTTCATTATCTCTGCCGACAACCCCTCAGATCTGCTCTGTTCTTTTATAAGCTGATCCTATATGAAGAAAAGTATGTACATTACAAATTATAATAAATTAATGGCATCATTTTAGTTACAATCGACTATAACCAATAATCTAAACAAAAAAAAAGCTCCAGTGATTAACCTTTAGAGAAATATTCTCGGTGACCATTTCTGGTGGGTTTGAGATACTGTTTTCAATTTGCCCATCTGATTGGGTAGCGATATTGCTTACTTTCAACAGGCTAGCTTGTTCAAGTCTTAGTTTCTCCAAGTGAGAACGGAGCTCTTCATTTTGCTTCAGACAATCTCTAACCTGAAATTTTCTGTTAAGTCAAGAGGCAGATTTCTTATGCAAAGGGTTGCATAACATAGATGCACGAAGTGACCAAGAAGGCCAATGGCACACCTGGTTTTCCCATTGTACTGTAATAGCCATGGCTTCTTGATAAGAAGTAGATAAGGTTGAGTTCTCCTCAAACAGTTTCTCTATTTCTGACGATTGAGAATCAATCTGTCTAACACGGTAAAAAATAATCAACATTTGGGACTAGTATAATTCAAAAAGAAAGTAAAGCGGCATTAAGCACCTCCATTAGCAGTTTTTGACGACTCCCCTCTAGCCTCTCAATCATCAAAGCCATGTCATGCAACTGGTTTTCAAGTTTTTCCCTATCTTGCTGTCGTAATGAAAATTGGGTCAGTAGCTAGGTACAGTTTACGTGAATAGCTTAGTGAAGCTAGAAAAATACCATGAACAGACAACACTACAGATGCAAGTAACCATTTCAGTCACCCCCTTAAATACTCTCTTAGGTTTTGACAAAACCATCAGGACTGAAGGTGTTTCAACCATCCAGATTGCCAGTTGAAATGCATAGTAAATTATATTGGCTGTCTATACCAGAACATCGGGTTATCCAGCATACGTGCAAAAAAATTATCAACAGAATTAACAATCCTAAAGTTCGTTAGATACATTACCATTGAAAATGCCTTGCGTGCAGCAAACTCAGAAGCATCCTCTGCACCGAAAGAAAAGATTTAATTCAAGGCTCCAATCCATGCAAATATTTTTTTCTGGAACATGCAAGAAAAATTGCATATATCATTTAATTAAGAAAGAAGAGAATGCGAAAGGGATTAGAGAAACCCCCACAAGATACCCAAGATGATCATAAGCCAAGAGCACTAGCCTAATGGAATGCCCTGGCAATTAACTCCTGGAGGCCTTTTGCTCCAGTACACCGAAGGATGCATTTATTTGTGAAATGTGCCAAAGTCGTTGCAGTTCTCAGCAAATATTATATCTAGAGTGTTGTCAGCAAGCATGCTTAATTTTGGATGTCACAAGATAAGAACTACCTAGCATGTGGCAGTAATGCTACTATAGTATGGACAGTGAAGTAATCAAAGACACTACAGAATGATAATTATGGAACAGAACACATGCTAGTAAGTAGAGTGAAGTTACATGTTTACTAGCATCAACTGTTGTTCTTCCTCACATTATAAAAGACAGAATAAGTATATGTATCCTCCATACCTGTAGCTTTCTTTGTCAACATAGTAATTTGGTCTTCCAACTGTTGCTTTTCAGCCTCCAGAGAAGCAATACGGGTTTGCTCTCTGGCTAGTTTTTCTTGCTCTTGTTGCCTCAGCTGGGACTCTTCAGCTAATTTTTGTTGCTCCTGTTGCCTTAGGAGTGACTCTTGCTGTGTTGTTAGTTTAGATGTAATGATTAGAGAAAGCGTGAAACAAGATAAAACACGCAGATTTTTTGAATAATCCTTACCTTTAGCTGTGCCTGTAAATCTTGTATCTCCTTTTCCATGGCAACAGATTCCTCATTCGATGTTCCCATTGTATATCCACTGTAAGAGTGGCCCATTACTTGCTGCTGCAGGGTATTTAGCTGTGCTCTCAAGGAGGCTGAGTCTTCTTCTGCCTGTACATTTCAAGATTAGCAAAGTGATCACTCCACTAATACGGAACATCTTTCAATAAATACCCTATACTGTTCTTCTTCTGCTTCCTTGAGTCGTTTCTTCAGGCTCCTGAGTTGAGCTAGAGCATCCTCCTACTCAGCATACCAGGCAAAAGACATAATGAGAAGGCATGCATAATTAGACCATCAGACACATGATAGCACAGATGCAACAAAAAAAAAAACAAGTGTTTAATACCTTAGCAACTACAGCAGCATCTTTCTCCAAAGAAATGTCATTCAAAGTTTTTTTCAAAGAGGGCACTACATTCCGCTCCTGCAGAGTGCAGAAAACAAATCACGCCAAAAAAAAAAGTAAAGGACAACAAAAACACGGAGCTCAGCACCAATAACAATGTAGTCTTGACTCACGAGATCATTCAAACGGTTTACAAGGGCATCCTTCTCAACTTCCTTCTCAGCAATCTAGCAGAGACAATCAATGTCAGAACCTCTGAGTAACTACACAATGAAACCAAATTGCATACAAAGTACCTTGGACAAGAGCATTTTGTTTTCCCTCTCCAATTCCGTGTTCCCATTTTCAAGTTCTTGAACTCGAGCAAGAAGCTAGCATTCATACAAAAATGCTTGGTTACTCTCTGGAAAACACCAGGGGCTTATATTTGCAACCAGAAAGCAATTCATCAATGATCGAGGGCTCGTGAAGACGTGAACGATATAGAATGCTAAACTGACCTCAGCTCCGGTTCTTTGGTTCCCTAAAGATCATCAGCATTGGTAGAGACATACAGGGAAGGAAAATACAGCACAAAGTTAGCATCAAAGTAAAAAGTAAAGCAAATTAAGAGAACATCACAACAAATAGTCAGCGAGTGAGGGGTGGAGAAAAGGATGTACCAACCGTGAGAATCGACGTGAGACGCCGCGATCGGGAGGGCGTGCTGCATCCTCTCGGCGGCTCTCTTCTGCCGGATCTCCTCCAGCTGCCACAAACACGCGCACAAGATGGCATAATTGGGACCTCGGGTCTCAGATCTCAGAAGCTGGAACTAGCGGGCACACGGATCTGCGCGCCATCTCATCATTTCAAAAAGGGTCGAAATAAGGAGAAACGAGAAGGGGGCATACGGTGCGGCGGCCCCGCGAGGCGTGGGCTTCCATTGCCGTGTCGGCTCAACGACCGATGGATCGATTTATTTGGGAGCTCCGGTTCTAGGCGGCCGGAACCATTGGCGGACCGACCTATAAAGGGCGAGGTACTTCCCCTCCGGTTGGAACCCCTACCCTGGTCCCGCCGCCCTGGAGCTCGAGTACCGATCGGCGACCGCTCGTCCGCCTGAGGGATCGCGCGGAGGTTGAAGATTGCTACGGACAGGGGAGGTGGTCGCTGCTTCTGGTTGAGTTGGGGGCGCATGGGCCTTTTAGCCGGCCAGGCGTCCAGCCCATCAGTTAGGCAGGCCGCAGGCCTGTTTTTAATTGGCTGGTAGCTATTGTTAATTTGTTGTCATTGGCTATTAGTTTTCTTGTCAGTAGTTCAGTTTCAGCAGCAGTTTTTGGCTCGGTTACCGTCTCTGTTTAAAAAGTTCAAAGTTACGTTGGTTCAGTGTAGTTCTGTTTCAGTTCAGCAGCTGAATCATTTTGGGAACAGCAGCAATGCAATTTGTTCATGATTTACATGTCTTTTGTAGCCAAAATTTTGTAGTCTAAATTCCCCTACCTCTGGCTGGGCCCGCCACACGCCACTAGCCAGAACTCCCTGGTTCCCTCCGTTCTCCGATGCCGTGGGGGAGGCGAGATGGGCGAATGGGCGAGGAAGGACGGATGCGAAGTGTCGGAAGCTCCCAGGTTCCCCTCTGCTCTCTTCGATGCAGTGTTTGATAAAAATGATTTTAGTGGTAGTTTTATTTTATAATAATTTGTATTAAATTTGAAAATTACATGTGAAGCTCTTTAAAAATATATGTTTGACACAAAGCAACTTGAAACAACTCATGAAGTTGCTGAAAGAAGCTATGCCAAATAAGACATAAATGGGATCGAAATTTCGAAACCAACTCATGTGTAGCTTCAGGCTTAGCCAAAATTTGAAAAATACATGCGCGCATATGTTTAGTTGTTTTTTTTCTTTTGAGGATCTTTACATCGATCCGATGGCTCCCTCTACTTTTGAGGGTCTAGTTTTTTACATCTACTCTAGCAGGAGTCATCAAATCCATTCCAATAGATACTAGAATATGGGATGCACTCATTATTCCTATTCTTTCATCTTCCTCGCTCTTATTGAATGAGCTACGAGCACTGATAGGCTAAAGGAGCCACACCGGGGAGCAGAGGAGGCACCGGTGGGCAGGGGAGCCGTGCCGGGAGAGGAGCCAATGGGGGAGGAGGTATAACAGAGTCGTCGTTGGGGGGAAGGGTAGCCGCCTGGCGGCGACGCGTCAACATGGGAGCCGCGTGGAGTGTTGAGCGGTTGGGAGGGGCGGAGCATCAGGCAACACATAGTTCCGAACGGATGAGGAGATAAGCAATCAAAACTAAAAAGTAGGGGTCTGTTGTGGGTTCATTTCCACGACAGTAATCGGATTGTTCAATGTGGGTCGATGTGCGTGCCTCCGGCGGCTTAAGCACTCAAAACACAAGGGGTTTATCCTGGTTCAGGCGTCTAAGCCCTATGTCTAGCAGTGGTGTTCTTCGTGTTAGGAATGCTCAACCATGATCTTACAATGGAGAGAGAGAGAGAGAGAGAGAGAGAGAGAGAGAGAGATGTAGGGAAGCACTATGCTGCTCTAGGGTTTGATTGGCTAAAATCTGATAGATCTCCCCTACAGGAGCCCATGCCCGGCCTTATATACCAGAGGATGATGTGAGTACAAGTTGTCTGGTCTCTAGGGATTTCCTTGGGTTTCTCACCCTAGGCTTCCATCTTCTTCTTCACGGCGCCCCGAGTCCTCCTTTGTCTTGTAGTTGGGGCTGACAATGTCCCAACCGCTCCCTGGTGGCTACTGCCGCTGCCTGGCGTTGACCGTCAAGTGTTGTCTGCTGTCGTCGTGCATTTCCCGGGTGCGCCTTCTTGTGGCTTCCTTGACGCGCCGAGCCCTCTCCCCCGCACGGAGGGAAGCTGTCGTGCGGACCTAGGGTCTTCTACGTAGACACGTGGGGATCCTTGTCGTGCGCGCGTTATGCCTCGGCCGTGTTCCTATTCTAGGAGTGGCTGACACCGTCTCACGCCGGTGGAGAGAAACGAGCGCCTAACACTCTGCTCCTCCTGCGCTCCTATGAGGCTCTGGCCACCTGACAGATTTCAGGCATATTCCTGGTGTTGCTTGGGGTGGGGGCTCGGCTCGAGGACCCGAGCCAAGGCTAGGGTGACTGCGGGGATGCTTGCTCGGCCTAGGTTTCCTTGGGTTGAGAACTTCTTGTGCCTTAGCTGAGCCCTTGAGCAAGGATGGATCGGACGGGGACTTGGCCCCTCTATCTCATGCCCCATTTGACGGGGCTTTCTCCGAGACGGGCCTTTAGAGGCCCACAAGCCATTCGCTTATGGCCCGGAGTGTACGCGCCAACGTACACGATAGGTGTAGCCTCCGAGCCCCTGGCTGATTGGGAGAATTAGCCAGAGGGTTAATTGAACTATCATGTCATTAATTGGAGGGTTGAACGTACGTCTGTGTTTGACTCCCGTTAAGGTCATTTCTAGGGTCTCGAAGAATGAGGGGATTATGACTTGAGAAAAGAATTTGAAGACCTACCTCTAGGGTCTGAATAAGGGCTACGCTAACCTGCGTTTTTTACTTGAACTCTTAAATTTTGGTTTACAGGTCTGTTTGAGGACCCTGTTAGAGTTGGTCTGCGGCGTTATATAATTTATGGTTTTCTAGTGTCAGTTTATTTCAAACCCTAGGTTAAAGGTTTTGAATTAGGGTTTTTCTAATAGTCATTTCTTTTGATCCTAGGTTAAAGATATTTAAATTAGACAGCCAATTTATCTTCCTCTTGGACGCTAACAAAGACCTCTCGAGATCAAAAAAAAAAAAAAAAAAAACTCTCAAAAACTGTCAATGTTTTGCTGTTTGTGATGTTCGGCAAAGAACAGTTCTGAAAAGCTAACTCAAAAAAGAGCTTCTGCATTTACATGAAGGATCTTACATGAAGTATATAGTGATCGGAGACGTCCAGCATAATAAATCTGACAACATATATGAGGACAACATGTATGAGATGATATTAGGTGCATAATTTTTCAGATCAAGCACATTTGCTGATATATAATAAAGAATCTACAAAGTAGCAGCCGATCTGTTTACATTTCCACAAGTGATCATGATTGGTCATTTGGTTTTCAAGCTTCTGCCTGAATTGACACAGAATGAACCTAACACGTACATTCCGCCTAATTCCACATTACAATAGTAGTCTGATCGAGTTACAATAGATTTTCGCTGCTCTGCCTAGTTCCACATTTCTGACATCTTACATGCCCTAGTTTGGGCCAACAAATATATTTACAAATGAAAGAATATTGTACAAGTCCACCGTCCCTCAACCTGAACAAGATTTGAGGGCACACGGCAGCAGTCAATGCCTCTGGCTCTGCATCTGACAGAGCCTGGTGTTGAGAGCTTCAATATATGTGCGCAGTCGATGCCGATCGGATCTTGTCAGAGTCAAAGGGGGGCTGAGGGCAAGTGATGGTGCCTCGATCAAGAGAAACCGCAGCATGGATACCGCCCTCATATACCCAGTCATGGCATCCGCTGCTTTCCCAAACATCTCATCAACCTGTGAATTAGGATGAGAAACAAAACAAAACGGGTGGTCAAGAGGTAAACATGTCAGACTAGTTCTGGAACTAGTTCTGGAATGGAATACACTGTGCTTTACTTACACCGCCTCGCCTTCCTATAAGTAAAGCCGACTGAAATATTATTTCAATTGCATCTGGCATCTCTGTACCATCTGTGTGCATAAGAACACTATCAGCATCCAAAAGGGTTTACCAAGAGACGGACAGATGGTAATGATCCACAATTGGTGGTGTGTTTAACATACCAGCTATCTGTCCTACAGTGCTGGCTAGTTCTTCGGCATATTCAACTTCAGAGAGAAACTGTTTCTCTATCTGCATGCAGGCATCATCAGCTAGCTTTGAGTTCGCAAGCAAATGGGAAGCATCAGCACTAAGCTCCTTCATAGGGATATCATGTGAGGGACTCTCCCTTGCAGGTGAAGCGACAAAGGTATTGCATAAATGAATTGCTTGCTTCCAGGTTGCAAGAACGATTAGCTGAATAGAGAATGCCTCCAAGTGTCTGCCACCTTTGATCTTCAATCAGGTGGTTGATCAGCAAAACAAAAGCAAGTCAGTGGCAGCTTGTTGCTATTAACAAACATTTTTAATGGCTAAATGCTGCCTATATTATAGAAAAATTGGGTCTTGAGTCAATGGGATTCAAGCTTAACGACAGTTCACATAACTCAAAAGCATTGTTTGCTACTCCCTCCATTCCAAATTGTAAGTCATTATGACTTTTCTAGGTACATAGATTTTGCTATGCACCTAGGTCCAAATAATAAAAGCTATGTATCTAGAAAAGCTAGAATGACTTACAATTTGGAATGGAGGGAGTATAAACAAAGCTTGGGATAGATGAAAAGTGCACACTAAGTCGTGGTATGGACGAAAGTATTTCAATGAGTTATAACCATCTCCAAAGGTTGAGTCAAAGTAAAATAAAACATAGGGAAAGCAAAGAAACTGGGCACCATCAAGCAGATAAAATTTACCTCATCTCTGACCAACCCTGCTATGGCTGACGCATATTGCTCCAACAATCTAATCCTCGTCAGATAATCTGATGGGGGCTGATCCATGGCATCACTTATATCCGCAGATCCCTGTGAAGTGCCAGATGCTGGAGAACAGTGGCTGTCGAAGCTACCAGTCCCAGCAGATTGTTGTCTATTAATCGGCAAACCATTTATCGGCATTGGTGCACTCAAGAAAGTTAACTTCGGTGGCGAAACAGACGAATTATCATATTTTGCAGGTAAGTTAAGCTGCTGAGAGGCATTTGTTGAAGACGATGATCCCTCCGGGTGTGGTCCAGACACAAAGACATATTCCTGATCTACAAACTCTAATGAATCAATGATAGGGGAATCTACATTTACAAAGTAAAGAAATAATAATTTCAGTAAGAATTGTTCATAATAAAAATGAGGAAGTGCAAGATAGTCACTAATGACTTCCATACCTTCTGGATAAACACCTTTCGGACCTTGTACTTCATGAATCTTGCTTTCCTTTGTCATTTTACCAGTATGGCCATGGTGTTGGCTACTAGGTGCATGATTGTTGCCCAAGACATACCTGGAGAACAGACTGGTATGTTTCGATGGACTCTGGCCTGAAGTTTTATCCAATCTTTTACCCGTGGGAAACCCATAAGATTTCATCGGACTCTTACTGTCAGGAACTGGACCATCGTCCTGTCCACTTGACTCATCATCTAAAGGAAAAGGCATACAATCTTCTTGTGAACTTTGGCTTGAAGGCCTTGTTGGACTGCTATTATTTATTGGAAAGCCATCTCTTATGTCAGATGGTGTCCGGCTGTAAATGCTTACAAAATATTTAAAACATCCCAAGATGCAGTAGGAGAGAATATAGTGGAGACAAATCAGTACCTCAAGGTCCTCTCTGGAGCATGTTCAGAAAGAAATGGGTGGTGCACAAATTCTTCGACTGTAAGCCGCTCCACTGGATCAATTACACAGATTAGCACACATCGTTAATGATAGCCGATAACTGTACATGATAACAGCAATAGTATAACATCACATTTCAGCCTCTCTTTTAAATACTATGGTTGTACAGGAGTATTAGCTTAGGCACTAGTGCTATGCTCAAATGCAAAAGTAAAACCACCCACTCTCGATGTTCTTATTTCCTAAACATACTTTTGCAGAAAAAAATATGCCTTGAAAAAAGTGGTATTCTGAAAACACTTTTATCTAAAACTGGCTAAATCTCTGCTGCAAAATTTCTTAATGTTAAGGAACAGTCTGAGTTGAACGTCAAATCTAAAAAATAGGTACTAACAGAGTCATAGTAAAAATAAAAGGACAGATGACAGGGCAGTTAAAACTGCTCTTGCATGGTACCATTCATTTTCCAAAGAACAAATGTAATACATTAACATACAACAATACTTGTGAAATTTCTCCATTCCAAGTCGCAACATAAGAATAATAATAACGCGGGGCAAATTTCTTTGAACCATCAATGACAATATCATAAAGCTCTATATGCACAGTGAGGAATTGAGGATATCATAGGAACTTGATGCAACTACAAATTAGTGATTTAACCTGAATTGAGCTGCAGCAACTTTCTGCACAAGTCGATGCAGCCATGGCTCAACTCACAATCAGATGGAAATCGTATTTCACGTGTCCTGAGTATATTTTTAAGCAACTGGGGAACAAATAAATATATTTTTCCATTAGCACTTGTAGTCAAATCTAGATCAACCGTACTGAAGTTATATCTGAAAAACAGGAGAAAACCTGGATCTGATTATCCCCATTAAAAGGTGGTATTCCAGTAACAAGTTGATATAGAATGACACCAACACTCCACAGATCTGCCTGTTCTGTCAGAAATGGCCATTAAACACTGGGTCAAGCACCAGTAGTAAAAGATGCTGAAACTGATATGAAACAGAAAAAAAGCTCAGACCTTTGCATCATACTTCTGAGCTTGCATGACTTCTGGAGCCATGTAAAGTGGTGAACCACAAAGTGTTTCGGCTAGGGCAAAAGGTTGCAAAAATCTGCTCATGGAAAAGGGGAAAGCAAACTATCATATGTCTGATACTCATACTATCAAGCTGTTGAACAGCTCATTCAGGCATCCACCCCTTAAAGTGAACTTGGTCCAACAAAAATCATGTTGCACGGAGAGAAAGCTGTGTGAATGTTACTATGAACTACAGATGCAAGGAGCCGAAGTCTACCCTAAGCCTTGTCTACTGTTGTTCAGAGTAAGTAACCTTGAAATATAGTCTTGTATTCATGTACTTGGTTTCTCCACATACTCATAGGGAGCGTCTAGTACAATAGTTGACACTATGCAGTCAAAGAAATAGACTCGAAAGTATTCCATGCAGGATGTACACTGGGGACATCTGTTAGGAAATGAACAGATCAGTTTGTCCACTGTACAGGGTGTTTTCATGTCCTTGATCGTTTCAAACTTTCAGACATTAACTAATCACTACCAGAAACAATTTCAAAGAACAATAGAAAACACATTGATATCAGTTGACTCCACCATCAAGAAAGGGAGGAGTGGAAAAGAAGGAAGGCCATTTGTTCAATCTGTCAGTAGCAGTACTGGTATATCAATTGCATCGAAACCCAGTAGAAATAAAATCACAAAAATGGGCATATGCAACTCAGTTGTGGATAAACTCAGAAATTTACGACATTTGTAGAAATAGGTGCTAATATTTCATCTAAAAAATGAAAGAAATGGAACTCACTTTGCAAATCCAAAGTCGGCAATCTTCAACAGAGAATTTTCATTATTTTCAACAAGAAGAATGTTCTGTTTGCAAAACGAGAAAATTCAGAATCCAATAAATTAAATAAATTTAACCACTGTATATTTCTTGAACTCTTGACCATGGAATATTCAGCTATCGTGGAAACAGAAACTAGAAAGCAAGTAAGCAAACCTGAGGTTTTAGGTCCCGGTGAACCACGTTATTATCGCGAAGCATTTGCAGACCAGATGCTGCCAGAAAAATGAGACATTATGAGAAAAGCTAAGGAGAGAGAGGGAAAGGGGCTGACGATTAACGAATCACTTGCCTAACTGACGGATGAAATGCTTAGCAACCTTTTCAGAAACTCTTTTATGGCTTTGAAGGTATGCATGTAAGTCACCACCTCGACAATACTCCAATATGAGATATATCCTCCCATGATCCTAATCATACACAATAGTTATTTATGGTAATTACTAATTAGAAACAGAGTGTTCTACAGTCACTGTGCATGGGGAGCTTTATTTGCTGAACAAGAAAAAGATAACAACATTAATACCAGAGAAAAAGCCTATGAGTTTGATATTAAACTGGTAGAATCCACTCACAACATCGAGATTCAGCATTAAAAGTACTTCTATTTCCTATGTTCCACAAAATCCTAGCTTCCAGAAAACATTAATCTAACAAATTAACCAAGCTAAAACCCACATAGGATTTCACGAAACCATTAGCCCGACAGGACAGAACCTCCTATTTCAAGCATGGCAGCAACCGGTGAGCGAACATCCCTTTGCAAACTAACGAGTTCCATCCAAAGGGACATCAAGTCAGACAGGGAATCCTTTGCTTAGTTCCTACCTACCTAAAATGCTCACAGTAAGCTAGAATTCACCGGAGTAACTCCTCAATTTCACACATCCTAGGCCTACAATCAGAACCCAGACCCCACCAGCACCAAGACCTTGCAGATCTACATCGATAGAACGGGAGATCATGAGCGACATCAAATGGGGCGGCCAGCCGCGGGCGGGGTACCTTGATGGAGTCGTGAAGTGCGATGACGTTATCGTGTCGGATGCGACGGAGGATGTCGACCTCGGAGAGGAGGCTCTCGCGGAGCTTGTTGCTGAGACGCTCCATGGCGATCTCCTTCACCGCCACCTCCGTGCCCCGCGCCCGGTGCCGCCCCAGCCACACCTGCGAGTACGCCCCCGACCCGATCGGACGCAGCAGCTCGTACTCCCCCACCCGCCGCCCGGCCCCGCCTCCACCGCCGCGGCCGCTGGCGCCGTCCGCCATCGCTCCCGTGTCCAGTAACTTGCCTAGCGCGCCGTCGCAGCTCTCGCGGGGACGGCGCCGCCGCGCAGGAGATGCCGCCGTGGGGAGAAGCAACCGCGTCGTTGCTGCGCGGAACAGAAAAGAGAGACGAGGGAAGGAAACCGGGTCAGGTCGTGTTCACCCCGCGGCGGCGGGGCCGGCCCTATGGTTATTCCGACGTCTTTCGTAAGATTCTCCTTCTTGGAATATGATATATCCGTTTATTTTGGCCACAAAAGCAATATATAGTGTTAGCATCATATTAATGTCGTTTTTTATGATGTGAACAGGGAAAACATGCTCTTCATATCATATATATAATAATAATATCTACTCCCTCCGTTTCTAATTATAAGTCATTCCTACTTCCTCGGAGAGTAAAGCATCTCCAGTTTGACCAAATTTATATAATAAAATAATAACGTATATCTATTTAATGTTATAAATTTTTGTATTTTTCTCTATAATTTTAATCAAATTTGAGATGCTTTGACTTTCCATAAAAGTTGGAACGACTTGTAATTTGAGATGGAGGAAGTACGTCATAGCCTGTGTGTTTTCTATGGGGCTAACACGAATTTCTTCATGACAAAATCACCAAGGACGACCTTTTTTCCATCTTTTCTGTGCCATATAAAAGCTTTTAGAACAACATACCGCTAAAATAATCACCATAGCTGCAAAATGCAAAACGATTACTCCCTCCGTTCCAAATTATAAGTCATTTTGACTTTTTTTTGGTACATCTATTTTGCTATGTATCTAGATAGAAAAAAAAAGTCACAGCGACTTATAATTTGAAAGAGGGAGTACTACATAAATAAAAGCTTTTATTAGAACAGCATACCGCGAAAAATTAATGACCGCAGCTGTGAAATTATGTTAGATTGTCGAATGGGGTTAACTGTAAGAAGGAATGCTGGGCAATCAGCTACACGCCCACAAAAAGCAAGGTAAAAGTTTCATCAACTGGCGCACAGATTCTAGGCGGGGTCATAAAAGTTTCATCAACTGCATCCGCATGCATGACTGCGAAAACAAGGTGCATCTTATACAATACAATCTTCAACACATGTGTCAATCCTGGGAAACACATGATGAAAAACAGTCTACACATATGAGATCGTAATACTAGTGTGCACTTCAGACAGCTTAAGATTTACAATCAGAAGATACAATGCATCCAGGAACTTCAGAACGCCTCTGATATGTGAAGGAAAAATGCAGTGTCGCCACACCAGAACACCACATAGAATGCCTGTTTGATCAATCTGAGAACCTTTCCGAGTGACAAATCTTTTTGCCGTTGAGTTAGATTGGTTAATTCTATGGTCCATGACAACAACATCGCAAGAAAAGCTAATGTTATCCCTGCAAATTCCACCCAAGTTCCTTGCATTGCTGTTCATCCGGCTGCAGCGTGTTTGGTATTGCACCGAACACACAACGGGCAGTTTCAATCCCAGAGATCGTGTTATGGAAAAATGCTGATGCCTCTTCCATGTTCTTCTGCAGTTCATCTGGGGAGATGCGCATGAAATGCGGAGAAGCTGGCGGTTGTTGCCCCACAGGCATAGTTGGTGCAATATCGGCAACCCTAACGAATCTTTCTGTTGCTGCCTCCCAGGAAAGCTCATGCCTCAAATCATCTGACAGTGGGATAGGCTCTTCTCCCAAAGCTTTCATTGTTAGTCTCACAAACTCTTTCTCAGTACTGTACATGTGACAATTAGGAAATCTTTTGAAAAATTCATTTGAAGGATGGTTTGCACAGATCACAATCTTCCCCATCGCCAAAGCTTCTGCAGTTGTTGTGCATACCACATCAGTTGTGCTTGGGTTTATGAAAACCTTGTAGCTGAGACAAACAATGGAATGGATAATACAGTTCAGTCGAGACTCAAAGAGTATAAAGCGATGGCATAAAGAACTTATCATAAATTATACCTGAACATAAAACAATCTAGCAGCTACTAAGACTGTATAAAAAGGTATTGTTCATCTATTGAATACTCACTCGTGAAATATTGAATCTCCATGATCACGGCCTGGATAGACTCTAATATCTAAGCTCAGTCGCTCAGCTGATGCTTTTACTTCATCGGCATCTTCCCCACTGCCATACAACTCCATTTTAAGGCCAGACAATTCCATTTGGTGCTTATGAAGAAGATGAAGAAGCTCTGTGTAACCTTTACTCCAAACCATCTTTCCAATATAATATGCACCCTTGAAGAATGCTTGTTCTCTTTGGCATAGCTGCTGATGTTTCAATTTGCCAATTTCAATAAATTTGGGGTTAACTCCATGAACATTACAAATCACAGACCTAGGAACATCCTGAGTTGCTGCAGACAATCTTATAACCTTCAAGAGAAGGGTTATAAGAAGAAAGAGTCAGAAAAACAGCACATAAGAAATCAAAGGTAAATTATGCTTTAAATAAAGTGGAGCACATGATTATTATATATAATTATCAATGGATTTCGAATTACCAATACAGATATAGATTGGTAATAGTTCCAAAATATATAAAAATATGTTATAACGGCACATGATGTCATTATGGTTTGTGTTTTACTGTCACGTAGTAAGCAGGGAGTCTACAGGCCTACAAGAAAAGGAAAACCATTATAAGCAGGGGCAGATACTGCCCTAAAAAAGGGAAACAGATGTAAGCAGGGCAGCTACTAACTTAACAAACTAACTGTTATTATCAAAAAAGAAGAAGAATGATGGATGAGTTTTATCTGATCCCTATGTAAAATGGTGACACTATCGATGCATAACATGTTTGTTGATTTAATCAAGTTATGTTCTTCAGTACGTCGGTAGCTGATAACAAAGTAGAAGAATTAGCAAGATACACAAATTTGACGAATCCAAGGTTTGAAAAGTACTATTCAGGTTAAGAACAAGTTGGCCCTGACCATGAAGAGTACAAAGTGAACAAGAAGGCTAGTAGGTTGACAACTGCTAAGGGTATAAGTGTGATTGTCTAAGATTAGCACCATGTTTATCTTTGGCTAGAAGTCGCTAGTTATGCCTTATGCACTCATTATACTTAGCACCCTGTTCTACCATATTAGAGCAACTCCAAGAGACTCTTTATATCCTTCCTAATTGTTAGGAATAGAGATTTTGATAGAAAATACACTCCAACAGCTTCTCTAAGTGGTTATCAAATATAGCCATCCTCTATTATGGATTTCTAGCTAGCCAAAGATAGATAGCGAAAATGGCTCTCTAGAGTGTACACAAGATGTAGAAAAGCTGTTGAAGAGTGAAAACATATAGAAAGCGATTTTTATGCAAATGGCTCTCCAAATGATGATTTAGAGAGTGAAATTTAAAAAGACTCTTGGCGATGCTCTTATACATGCTGATAGCATGCCATCTACTTGCCGCGTTTATAGTGACGTCTGGTATTATCCTTACTTCAGTTCAATCTTGCCAAGTTTCTTGGGGAGTTGCAAAGCAACAGCAGACAGCTCTGGAAGTCATACAATAGTTGTCAACTGATCACAGTTCTCGTTTTTCAATCTCGAGACTGTTGCATATGCTTAAAGAAGGTGTAAGGGTGTAGGTGTTTCAATCTAGGATGACTGCACCAGTGAAATATTGTGTTTGGTTTAAAATTGTGTATCCATGTTGCCTATATATTTTACCATTGGGCCACAGAGGACAACATTGCTATCGTCTATCCAATCTTAACAGAAGCACCGATATTAATCACCATGGACGAGCCTGGAAACAAAACAAAAGAAACAACACTGAATAGAAAAATGGGAGGGCTAACCTTATGACAGTAGATATCTGTAACCCAAGAATTAATGTGTTTTAAGATAAACGCACTGATATATCCATTTTTCTCTCTTTTCACGTATTCCAAATAGTTTGTGTGAACAACACCTATAACTTTTTGGAACTTGCTTTTCCACCTCCGTCCATGATGGTACCAAGTAAGATGTTCTGGCTCTTCTAGCACTGCAATATCTGCTTTATCATCAGATATTGTCTGACTGATGTCTCCAACAGGTAGAATACTTCTTTTCTCAGTTGAAAACTGCATATGGACATCATCAGAAGGTTAGTCTATCATATTATCTCAAGGTCAAGAACATCATCTTCAGCATAAATGACTTGTACATTAGTAATTTTAGTTCCCTCCTTTCTCCATATGCTAAAGCCAGTGCCACTAAATCAGAAGTCTAAAGGCATGTTTCATAGCATTCTACTATGTGCTCCACTACCACAAATTTTCTAGTCATTCGAGTATTTGATGTACTTGCATATAATTTGCTAAAAACGAACTGTCTCATACCATCTATTTCACTTGTATCGACTATTGAGCACACTGTTGTATGTTTAAATTCCGTCGTTAACACAAATTCATGAGATGCTTGTTTGAAGACATGAACGAGCTATCCCAGAATTCAGAGCCCCACCCCCCTCCCTTCTATTTGAAAGCAGGTAAGCCATGCATCTTTGGTAGGAAAAGAGTGGGGGTCTGCGTCTGGTTTGTACCTAAGGAGTAAACTATGGTAATCCATACCTGTACAACCATCATATTAACATGGCACTTAAAACTATATATTCAAGATTTGCTTGACTTTTACCTTCCCAGGATAGAACTTTATGTCAAACTTCGGCAACGGCCCAGTCCGCTCCTCAAGCCACCGCCGCACATAGCTTTCCTGCTCTGCCGGCAAACTGAACTTGATCTTGTTTGGATAAACGAGCTCCTGATCCCCCTTGGACAGCCAAGGCACCACCAGCGTGACCTCCCAGTCTCCAGCCTTGGCAAGGTATGCAGCTCGAAACAGTGGGTTTACCGCAGTCCCAGTCATCCACGGCAAGCTTGCTGTGGTAAATATGGCAACATGCTGCTGCTTCCGCGCCATGGACATAGAACCACCCACAGCACGTCAGCACCCCAGCTGCTGCTGCAATGTCCAAGAGACAGCGATACTAGTACTTCAATCATAGGAGTATTGCCTAAGAATAGCATAATAACTGAAGGAAAGAAGAACATAATGCTGACATCTCAAATTTGTTTGCTCGTGACACCGCCCCCACCAAAAAGGTCGAACCCCCATCAAATCCAGAGAATCAATTGACTCGTTGCCGATACAAAGTTGCATAGTGGAGAGCATCTAGTTCGACGCCCCACAAATGCAAGCGTGACTCACGAACGCTAGGGGTTCCACGAGAGAGAGATCCACCAAGGAGAAGCCTGACTGGGACAACGATCTGAGCTATTCGGCCTCTAATCGTCTGCTTGGTTGCGCTAATTGGCTCATGAACTGCCCAGGGCCATCGCATATTATACAGCTATATACTAAACCAAAACTCTCAAACCATCCAATTCCCAGACCCAAGCACCCTACTCGAGCCATTCTGTTCCATACAAATCACCCTGTACCATCCCGCATTCGTAGCCCCCAACCAAACACACCCCAAATTCGAGACGGCGTGCGGACGGAGAAGAACCAGGAGGAAGGAAGATGAACTCACCTGTGCGGTTGGCACCTTGGCAGGCGCGGCTGTGGTTGGGGCGGGAGGTTGAGGAAACAACAGTTGGAGCCTTGGAGGGGAGGAGAATGGAAGGAGGGCGGACGACAGGGCAGCCAGGTGCGGACGGCGTTGAGAAGCAGGTGCCCACGCGACACCGCTGTCGGATCCCGTCGTCCAGCCCCGTCGGGACCCGGGGGAATCTGCGCTCCGTGGCCCCGGATTCGTCGGCCCAGCGAGGCCGCTCTGGGGGATTTGGGCCGATAGTAAGTCCGGTTAATCCATCTAGTGGGCCGTCGTTTGAGTACTTCTCACGTACGGGCCGGGATGAAAGGGGCCGGCATGTTGTATCAAATCTACGCAGGGAGTTATACAGGGTGCGTTTGTTTGCCTGCACCAGCTGGGCCACTGCGCTCGTGGGCTGCAACCCGGGGTGTTTGTTTGTCTGGCCCCATTTTTCAGCCCGGCCCGCACAATCATTAAAGCAGGCCTCGGCCAGGGGGAACGAAAAAAGTGGCTCGATCCAGCGCAACAGCCTTGCATTCCGTCACCTCCAAGCCACTTCGGCGTTTTCACCTCCCGCACACGGCACGCATGAGTCACGGCGGGCCACCGGAAGGCCTCGCCGGCGGAGCCACCTGAGCCACGCGCGGGTCCGGCGAGGCTTCTTCACCGGCGGATCCGGAGCCTCCGTCGTTTGAGCCGCCCTCCCGAGCCTCTAGCGGATTCGCTCCGCCCTCCGCCTTCCGAACCAGCACGAGCACGCGCGGGTCACCGGAGCCTCCATCGACGACGCCGACGAAGTCGACCCGGACCTCAACCTCGTCCATGGCCGCGGCAGCTCGCAACTCCGGGAGAAGATGAACGAGGGCATCGGGGACCGCGTCATCGCCATCGTCAACGATTCCAAGCTCGTGTCGCGCCCCAGCTGCACGGACGCCATCGCCCCAGCTTGCAGCCGCTCTAGCTGGCCGGCCGCCACCATCTGCGGCGCCCAAGAGATGCAGAACTCACACCTCCGCTGGACATGGCCATGGCGACGCAGCAGCGCGCGCCGGCGCCGGAGAAGGGGCCGGACGCCGCGGTGCCCACAAAGTGCTCGATGGAATGCCGCCAAGGGAAAGGTGGGTGGTATCATCACCACAATCCAGATGCAAGGTCACCGTAGCTGTTTGTACGGGCTACCGATCAGCATCTCAACTGAATCAAACATGTGCTCTGAGCCATGCCAACCTGAGCCTGACTCTACTTGGCCATACCAGCCACCCTCGTCCAGGGAACAAATGCACCCACAGGGTCTGATTGTTGCACAACTCTTTATCGAGGATACCCTAATGCAAGCCAGACCTGATTGGTTCCGTGCACAAGGTCTTATGCAGGCCAGCATTCTCCTCGAAGCAGTCTAGCAGGCTGTTTGAACAGTCCTGTCATATTGATGTTGAGATACTAAATGAGAGGGCTAAATATGAGCTAATTATAAAACTAATTGCATAGATGGAGACTAATTTGCGAGGTAAATTTATTAAGTCTAATCAATCCATCATTAGTACATGTTTACTGTAGCATCACATTGTCAAATCATGGACTAATTAGGCTTAATAGATACGTCTCACAAACTACTCTTCATATGTGCAATTAGTTTTATAATTAGTCTATGTTTAATATTATAAATTAGTGTCAAACATCCTCCCACCCAAAAAAAAAAAAAATCTGCATCCCACGTTCTGCATCCCACGTTCCCACTGTTAGCTCAAGTGCACACTTGAGCCACGGTCTAGCCACTGCATTCGCTCTGCAGTTTTGGCACCCACTGCACGCAACGACTCGACCTTTCCAGTTCTTGCCTTCTTCGCCACGACGTCGAGTGCTGCCTGGGCGGGGATCCGGCATGCGAACAGCGCCACCGCGAGGGAGCCCTTGACGCTGGAGCCGTCGACGAAGCCGAATAAGTCCGTGACGCGTGCGACCGGCAGCGAGGTCGAAGAAGTCCGCGACGCGCGTGGCCGGCGGCGAGGTCGAAGAAGTCCATGACGCACGCGGCAGGGTTGCCGGAGAGCTCCTGCACCCGGAGCTCGAGCGGACCATCACGGCCATGGCGAGCGTGCCACTATCGACGCTCCCATGGAGACCATACGGACGCGGCCCACACGGATCACGCACCCTCCAGCGACGATGCGCCAAACAAGGACGCTGGACTCGAGGGGCACCTGTTGAAAGAACAGCTAGCTTGCTAGCTAATGGGAGATCTCCGTGGCCAGGATGTAGCCAGGATGTGTAGTTGTTGGCTTGTTGCTCTGCAGTCTCCGTGGCTCTCGTTGGCTAGTGGCGACCAGGGCTCCAGCAGCCAGGGTGTTCGATGAATTGCCAATGTTAATTTGAGATGCATAGTGCAACCAAACACAGAACACAGATTACTAGATGCAGTTTGTCACTGTACATCCAACCAAGCAGACACACAACCAGTACAAAAGAGTAATACAGTCTAACCAAACAACGATGAATTATATTCACTTGTGCATGTATAGCATATACTGTTATAACTCTTAACACAACGCAAGTTCGGGGCGTCCGTCCGTCCCGGAGGCTCCATAGATGGACCACGATGCTAGCCCAACTATCCCTTCCTATTTGTACGGGGTTTTAAAAAATCGGTCTTTTTACCTTACGGCCCTCTTCCTTCCCCAACGTGTCGCACCTCCACGCGCAGCTCGCAGCGTCGTGTCGTCGCCTGCAACCTAGACGGCCACCGGCGCAGCCGCGCGCCTGAAAGGATCTAGCAAGTGGTCTAGGGGGGGTGAATAGGCCTTTTCTGAAATTTAATCACCTTATGAAAAACAGTCAGAACGAGGAACCTCCGGATTTGAACGCGGAGGTTCCGGGACAGAGCGTGGAACCTCCGGGGATCAGAGTATGAAATCGATCTACTGCGGAATTTAATGAATGAAAAATAGAACGAATGTAATACCAGTCTTCCTGAGGAGTATGTTGAGCTATTCAAACAGTTGGTTGCACCTAGAAGATGAGGAATTCGTAGATCGGATGCAAACCCTAAAAATCAATCCAAATCACAAGTAGTAGCAACAACAACAGCAATCACAGTGAACACAAAGATTTATCCCGTGGTTCAACTCGCCACAAAGGCTTATCTACATCCACGTTGTTGAGGTTAGCCACAAAGGCTATGGAGTCTCTTTCAACTCGCTCCTCTTCTCTAACCTATCACCAAGGCAATGGGTTAGAGGGTTCCACTAAGTCACAAAGAGTAATATAAACTTTCCTATGCTCAACCACAGCGGATTGGGAGCTACCGGACGACCGCTAGCCATCTAGGAGCCAAACTCCAAGAGTAACGAACACACACCAAGCGACTAGGGCTTCACCAAGTGCACAAGAACGGAGGAGAATGGTCTTCTAGAGCTTTCTCACACTCTCTAGAGCCAAATCCCTCAAGAAATCACAAAGATTTGAGCAAGGGAGATGGGAGCACCAAGCTTGGGTGAGAGAGAGAGAGCTTTAGTTCGAGTTTGAGTGAATAAGGAAGAAGATGACCATTGGGGGTGAAGGGGTATGGTATAAATACCACCCACGCCACCCACAAAACAGTCTGGTCAGCATAGACCCCGGAGCCTCTGTGTTTGAGCACGGAGGTTCTGCGCCTGAGCGTGGAGGTTTCGCACAGGCCAGAGCAGATAAGAATTCAGCTCGGCTGGCCTTTTGTGGCTGGGATTATTTGAGATGTAGATAGAGTTTTGAGCAATTGGTTCCACCCAGCACACCATTAGTATCCCCCTTGATAGTACGACTTGTCCTATGACTCAATTTCAAAATATAAAATGAATTAAACTAGCTCTTGGAGCCATGGTAAGCCATCCATTCGAGTTGGGGGTCTCCTCCTTTGTTTCTTTGCATCCACGATTAAAGATATGTTGTCAAACACTTGTCAAAGCCATTAGTCCTTTGACTATGTGGTCAACATCACTAAAATTCACTTACAGCTTGATTGCACTTACAATCTCTCCCTTTCTGGTAAATGTTGGCAACACAATTAAAGCCTACATTTAATTGAAAGATTGAGCTTTTGATAGCAAGAATACAAGGGCTCCCCCTTAATATATGCAAGATTTGTTTGGAATTATAAAAATGTCCCTTCAAGACATACTTTGCATATATTAAGAGCAAGTGTGAAAGATACATTGTATTCATGCCATCGTGGGGTACAAAAGAAGTGTGTCAAATAATAATCCGTGATGCGTATGACAGTTTATGCACAAAAGAAAATATCCTAAGTCTACAGACCGCGGAGCCTCCAGGCCAAAGCGCGGAGCCTCCACGTTCTGCACACTTATTATCTTCTAATCAGAACAGAAAGCATCACATATATATGAACAAA